TGAAACGACTCTGAAATAACGACAATTACGAACTTTCTCGCACCGTTTATCTGAAGAACAATATTGGCAAACGAAATCTACATTCAGAACTAGCGAATGATCCTGAAAACAATGCACAGTTCGGAATAAGTTCGAATATTTGATCAGATAGCATGCACCCTCTCCCGGAAACCAGCATGGAAGCATGCTGGTTGACGAGAGTGGAACTTTTAGATGAATTTAGATGAGTTCATCGATACTGTTCTGGGACAACCACAATCCTTGATCACATCCATGCTAACCTGTAATGTTTTGTCAAATATCTCATCAACATCCTCTTTGTTCTATTTGATGATCAATTGCAAGCACATTGTTTGCGGCGATCAGCGATATCGTTCCGGGTCCAGCATTCCAGGGCAAATTACTTATGAAAAGACATGATCGTAACTAGGTGATTCAGAGAGCGTGAATTGAGAAAAGTAAGCGACTACCTCGAATTCACTTGACTGTCATTGAAACGACCAAAATTGCTTCACTGCCAGCTGAACGATTTCAAGTCATTGACAGCCGACATTCAAATGAATGAATTAATCAAACAGTGATTCATTTAACATTTGAAAAGGTTATCCACAAGTGATGTGTGGACTGTCGACTATCAAATAAAAAGATGAAGAGTTTGTTGATGGAATATTTGACAGAATACTTCAGATTAGGGTGGATATGTGGATTGTTGTTAGGGATAACATCGTTCAGGTTGATGTAATAGTTGGATTAAAGAGAAAAAGCTTCATAAAAAGAATGATGTTGATCATCCCATACGACTCCTCTGCTAATTGCATTTTCTAGAGACGGTGGGGTGCGGTGCTTATGTGAAGTGCTACTCGACTAGGTATATCCGTCCATCCTGCCATCCACATACGCCAGCCACATCAGTGCTCACGATAGTTCGCTCATGTAATTAACTTTGACTCACGACCGCATTCAATCACATTCAGTCATATCTTTCACTCACGCTCTCATCTTCACTTTTTCGTTCACAAAACAAAAACAATTTTTCACTGGTGTTCTTACTGTAAACATTCTGAAACGCGTAACATTCAGGAGAAAATGACTTATTATCAGTTGGAATTTCGAATGAACGACTGCGACGCAATAAAAACAATCACGATCAAGCGCATTTCCTCAACTTCAGATCGAGCGAAAGATGACGATTTGACGAGATGGATAATTAGTTGTGTGACTGAGATTGTGCAATCAAACTACACTCGTTGGGGCACATTAAACACAAAGTGCATCATAACCAAGAGGATGCATCACAGATTGTTTTGAAAATGCGAGATGGTATGCAAAGTATGCAACACAGTTTATGACCAGCCATCCTTGTAGATCTGTGAAAAGCGACAAACCAAGTCGGCTTCACCAACGATACGTATTTTAGTCAATGAGGCGTGTCGTTTCTTCTCATTTGATGTGATTGCCACTAAAGCACTGAGAGCGTTTCATATTTAAGATGACAATAAATTTTCAATTATTTCCGTATAATTTCATTTGGAGTTTACTGTCGAACAAGCAAACACTTTGAAGAGGATTGATTTAATGCAACGCTCAACGATTGTGCTTCTCATGGTGCAACTGCATTTTTTTTTTGAACAAATTTCGCAACGTAAAAACAATATGATTGGATTTTGTTCGTTTGAGCAATTCAAACTTTCACGTGATATTTATTTATTATTCGCGACATTATTCAAATACACTTTTGACAAATTCCGGATGAACTATAAGTCGAGTGATTTATGAACAACATAAGCGATCCAATTTCTCTTACGGTCGAGCTAAAACAATTTCTATTCGAATATTTCTCAAACTGCCGGTGCTACGGTGTAATCAGAAACTTCATGNATATTCGAGGGATGTTTGGTTGAGCATTCATGGTCACATCATCAGTGATATGAATATGAATGATCGAGTCGAATATCAAAGAACTGAACGATCGTTGCAATAAGAAAAGCGTTCGAAAAAAGAAATTCAACGATTCATTACATATTATTTGATCACTGACTTGAACGATTTAATACTTCTCAAAATATCAGTTCGAATGTGAAAGAGCATATCTGAAATAAAATATGAACAGAACCAGCAGCTGCATGTGTACTCGATCATTCGCTCTCAATGAGTAACAATTGTGCAGGTATGAACAGGCAGAACGAGCAGCTGAATGTGAATTCATTCGATCTAACAAGTACTAAGCATGCAGGTAATGTGGCGGGTGATTATGTTGAGGAAATACATTTATGGCATGCTTATTGCGTGAAGCTTTGCTCAGCGGTGCGCATTTCCGTGCCGAGATTATGCGCTCTTTCCGGTGCTTATTTACAACCTTTTCGATTTGGTTCACTCAAATTATTTCAATAAACGATGAAGCATTCGCTATGCACTCGAGTATGCATGCAACATTGACTATAGGCATTGAATGAGTTCATTCGAGCTCTCTTCATGCCATCACTACGCTCCTTAATAAGGTTAATTTGATGAACAGAAACTCTCTAAAATATCACATTAAATCGTGTTTCGAATATCAAACATTCACATAACCAAAACTGAAACCCTCTAAAACTTTGAAACTAAAATCGGTCAAAAAAGAAAGACACTGGTAAAAGTGACAGCCCCATACCGACCACTTTGGTCATTACATGGATTTTCAAAAGCAGTTTTTTTGTGGAAATATTACTGACCAAAGCATGGATACAGGATGGATACAAAACACAATATCCTTCGAATTGAAAAACCTTTAAGTGAACATAGAAAAGCGTGCATTCAAAGAGCACAACCAAAAGTGTTGGTCTTGTTGAAGGCGTGGTCAAACGACGACGGACATTTGAGTGGATGTCCTGTAATTGGTGAATACTGCAGAGTGGTGCGGTATCTCATCGAATTTGTATGCAGTAGTCGCATAATTCATGAGAATTCCGATCGAGAGAGATTCTCTCGGAAGTGAACGTCGAATGCTGAATTTAAAACGAAATGAATATGGAAATATAATATTTCATACATTCAACCAACTATAATTTCAATCTCGCTTTCAAGCAGCTTTATTTACATCAGCAGATGGCGATGAATCAATCGTAACATGACTTATTGAAATTTCAAAAGGCTATCAGAATGCGCATCTTCGATGGGCATGGGAAGTATAAGCATGAACATTAAGCTGCTAGCTAGATACAGGATTCTTGATTGATTACAAAATTCCCTCTCTCGAGGGTAAACAAGCAACCCTTCTGATTACTGTGATCACTTATATTTTCTTGAAATTCATGTTCTTCTTGTGCACTTCTAAGTTGCGGATTGAACTTAAACTCTGATATCAAAACAACGATCGTATCTGCAATAGAGCATATTTATGATGCTACAAATCGATTTCGACAAGATTGGTGAGTATATCACGTCATATTCAGTTTAAGGAGATATAATGGTTTTACGCATCGTATATTAGCCTTTTATATTGCCTGAAGTGACACCACAGATCGAACTCATCATCGAAAAAAAAATAAATGTTGTTGTAAAAAGACACTAATTGCTGCATTCAAACAGTGAATCGTCAAGTGGAGAAGAGAGCACTCTTAAAATATACATCGAATACTGGTGAATCATTAGCGAGTATCCGATGCTCAAGGGCATGATTAACACTTATTCGTATTAATGACTTATTGCTGCCACTTGGATCATAAATCATAATGCTGCCAGCCCCTTGTTCATTTGATATTTTTCAGCACCTTGCAGACATGTAATAGCCTTCCCGCTTCACTTTTTGCACATACCGATATAGCCATTTATTACGTTCAGAAAATTTTCACAACTGTTTTTAAAACGATATTCTTTTGATATTCCTTTTGATAAATGATATTCTTCTTACCCATCCGAAAATATTCAAATGCTCAAGTGCATATAACAGTTATGAATGAGTTTATTCGAGTGAAGGCCAAAGAAACATTGGAGGAATGTATGATGTATAGTGAAGTAGTCACATGAGCAGATACTTGCAAAACAGTGACAATATGTTTATTGAATTGATGCAATTCATTGAAGAGGCCCGGTAATTCATAAAGATGAGTTCAATGAGGGGCAGAGGAGAGGTAATTGGCTTGAGAATTGAATTGTCGACCTTGTTGTATAGCACGAGGCAGCATTGCCTTCTTCAATGAGTTACAATTGATATTGTATGAGAAATCAAGCGAACAACACAATGATCATACAATTTGTATGCAATGATTGATTCCTTCCTATAACACAATAACAATTCAGTGTTGATCGCATACCATTAATCACTCAAATAAACAACCAACATCCAATTTTCTCAGCTCTACTCCAATTTCTCATCCACATTCAATTGTTTATTCGCGTTTAATTACTACGTATTTCAGTGAATCTATCCGTTTCAGTGCCGTATTTCGAATTAGTTCTCTGGCGTAGTCAAATCCGCTAAAAATCAAAGCTTACTTAAACCAGAGTTAAAATAAGCCCATATCATCACATCACAGGGATAATAATGTCCAGAAGATAATGAAAGTGAGTTCTTATCATTTGATTTCAACTCATGCTGTTCAAACCTAACGGAGCGCACGGAACAAACGTGCAACTTGGAAATGGGGCTGCTTAATTTTAAAAATCCAAGACCGATCACATTGGTTATTTCTACCGCTACAATATTATATTACAGCAGTTATACCGAACTCAATCACAATCTTTTCTTCATTTTCTGATGGGCTGGCAGAGAAATATTCGATTGTTGATTTGTCCTGATTTTTATCTATTATCCCATTATGGCTGAGGTCGATTTTTTGCAGTGGCGTACCCAAGGCGATAGAGCGTACGCCACTTCTCAAAGGTAGAAGAAAAAGGAAGAAGGACAGAGAAGGAAAAAGTGAGGGAAAAGGAGAAATTGAGAAAAAAGAGGAAAAGAGCGGAGAGGGGGAAATGAGCGCAGGAAAATGCACCCAAAATTCAGCTATCTTTTTGGACCAAACCATTTTACGTTCTTTGTGAATGTTTATTGGGTGGTATAGACGGTTTTGTGGAATTGTGGTCGTGTTATCGTGTGCAGGAATATAGCAGTGGCGACCGGTTCGAAGTCAATCCACGCGGATGGACAAGAAGTCGTCAACGCCGGTAAGGCCACTAGGGCTGGGAGCCCTGGTCATAAGTGATACTTTATACAAGGGTAAAATCCCCAGAAGTTGTAACCCAGGTTCATCGTGGAGGATATGGGAAAGGTTGTTTGAGAAATTTTTGAAATTACGGCAAATAACTGAGGAGGTAGAGAAGAGACTAATACTCCTACAAGAAGTAGGGGAGAATAACTATGAAGTACTGGAGGGGGTATTAGAAGGTCTACGCCACATCAGTAAGCACGCTGCGTAGATATTACGCGCCCAAGAAGCTTAAGATGGCGGAGAGATATAGAATGATGTCCATCACACAGCGACCAGAGGAGTCCTTAGTAGAGTTTTATACTACGGCACAGCAAGCTGCTGCGACGTGTGAATTCGTAACCTTTAAGGATGTGGGAGAGATGGTAGCGACAATGGTATTTGTGGGTGAAAATTGTGGTCGTGTTATCGTGTGCAGGAATATAACAGGTATCACAATCTCATTAACACATCCGATTGGCTTATGAATCCACTCAGTTATTTAAATGAAGCCGATTCTGCGGCGCTAGAGGAGTGACTCTATGAAACGACCTCGAGTTAGAGTACCATTCCAAGAAATCATAACTGGAATTTTGCACTTGAAAGGAAACTTCTGAGAGGTATCCAGAACTGTAGGAAACTGTCAAACTTTTCAAAAAATTAATTGCTTTTGCAACTCCCTACACGACTCCTTATGAAGGCATTGCCTGTGATTTCAATGCATCTACTCATTGTCAGCTCCTTACTTCTGAGTGAAAAAGGAGCCTTTTGTAACCAGTAAAATGAAGAAGCCTGTTATTACTTTTGACTAACATGAAAGCTAAAGCACGATCAGTAATGATACTTTCAGATTTATTTTAGATTTTCCAATCCCGAAAAGACTCTTACAAGGCCACTGAACTGGACGAGCGTTGCGGATATTCTCGACCCTGTTATGAATAGAGACAGACGGTTGGAGCCTTGCCCTCAGTTCAGGGTAAACAGTTAACCTCATCAACCGAAAACGGAAACCATACTCAGGGTATCAACCCTGGGCTGGAGGCAGAAATGCCTCATTGAGAACACAACAAAAACCTCGGTGGGTAGTGTTACAGAGTCTCAGACTCCGCACCATCATTTGCAGATGAATCCTGAAATAGATTATCCGCAAGTTCGTTTGTTTAAGATTCCTAAAGGTGACATTTGCGCCGCAATTAGTGATCAAATTGATCAACACGCCAAGCAGAGATCACCTTGCTGAGGTGAGAATATTCACGAAGTGTAGTGACACTTACGCATATGAAGCGTGATTACGGTGTGGTGGAAATCTTGTTGCGGAAACAGCAGATATACGTTTCGAACGCTTGAAAAGTTATCGGAAACCGTTCTCAGTTCAAAGGTCCTGGGAAACTTTTTTCTGAGATCGCCTCACTAAAGTGAGAATATGGAAACTGATTATACAGGATTTTCGGGAAATTTTAAATTTACAGGAATTGGTTTAAGATTATCCGGAGAAATTTTTGAAGGAAAGATTTTCAGAAATTTTGCTCTGGTAAGTTTTGAAAGTAAGCTTTTCTGGATATTTTAGTTTAGCAAATCCGAAAAGAAAAATCTCGTGGGATTTTAAAATCGGAAACTGTCAAAAGAATCATTAAAAACTTTTTCGAAAAGTATTTTGCTTGCATTTACTCGAATCCTTCGGCTGTTCGACATTGCCCCAGTCGACGAACTGTCTGTTCATCGGTGGTTTCTCTCTCCATTGCAAGCACATTCCTTTACGTGTCTATTAAATCTCCTCTGTTTCGAGAGGTGTGAAAGCCGTTGACTCGCGCTGCTCTCTCTCTCTCTCTCTGTCTTCATGCCGCTTTGGTACACGCCCATTGTCTCGTTTGACCCACACTGCTCTACTTTACGTTTCTTCGCATATTCTGTTTACTAAAACGTAGAATACTTCAATAAAGTTAACAATATAACGAGTAAGATGAAATCATCAGCGCCAATGCAACCGTATCAGCTGTAAAGATTTCCGTTGTTTACTGTGTGCACTGTTCGGCAAATTACTTCATCAATTATCTGGTATCGTGATATTAATTTATAAAGGTGTATTACGTTATGCCGTCTTTAGACGACTTCTTGTAGAAGTGCGGTGATCACCTTACATATATATATTCTCTGATGTTTGCATTTTTCTTTGAGGGTAATGAGCAGTTGACAATGAGTTCATCAAAGCAGACCACTGATTTCGGAATCAGTTTGGATGCAAATTCGTCAGCAATGAGTGACTATAAATGTGAAGAGACATCACTTTTACCAAACGATATATCGGATTGGCTTGACAGAAGTCTTTCACAGCCCAATGATCCGGTGAGTGATTTGTTTTGTTTCGTTAGAAGATGCCATTTTGAGTATAATTGGGAGGTGGAAGATATGTAAGGAAATAAATGTGTTGGGTCACTTTCAGTTATCATTGCTAATGCGAGATTTGGATTTCGAATTGGCGAGTCAAGATTTACCTCGATGTGAGGCAGATTTAACGTTTGATAGCAAGCTGATGTTTAACGATGGGTCATCTTCAAGTGATTCTCCATTATCGACAGATTCAGGCAATCACTCACCGAAGAGTTTGTCGTCCTCTGAGGTTAGCTGTCATTACTATCTAGAAACGAAAGTCTCTATATGATGGCTGAAATCGGTCAAGAAAAAAATCGTCAGTTTTCATTGCTGAGAAAGTCGTTCAGCACTAATGTTTAGTTTAATCTATTTCAAAACTATCATTGCTTGTCTCATCCTAAGATCTGAACAAAAACAGAATCCTTCGATGCGTTTTTGAGTTTGAAGACGAGTAAGCTTAATGCTAATAGGACATACGACCACTTAGCAAATATGTAAATATTGCATTGGTCGTGAATGAAATGTGATATGTGAAAAAATCTGTATTTTTCATGTCACCAACTCTTAAAATCACCATTTCTTCTCCCATAGTAGGGTTATATTCAACGTTGGCTTCAACACTGTAGCATAATTTAATGGAAAATTCAGTTCCATTTTAGTTTCTCAATTTGTAAGCTTCGTCAGACTTGCTCAATAAGTTTCAGGCTGTTTGTGATCTTTGGCAAGTGAATCCACTGAATAAGATCGCTAACGATCATTCGACATCGGAATATGCCTCCTTTAGGTCACATGAATTGAATGTGAAAGGTGATGAATCTATTGTGCCGAATTATGAGGTATTGTCTTTTCAGTTTTTGTCATTTGCATATGCGACATCAACGATGTTTTGAATCGTTTGAACGCACGTTTTCGCAAAAATATACCTATTTGTAGGTTGATTTGGCTTCAATAATTTTTCCATGCTGTGCTTTCGCACCTAAATAGGAATTCACACCAAAAAGTATTTGGTTTTAAATGATCCTGATAAGTTAATTTAAAAAAGATCAAATCACTAAAACGTTTGTTTCACCATTATGTTGTGGTCTCTTGCTCTATAAAGTATAATATACAGAGTATGGATGTGACAGAATCATATGGTATCAGATCAGAGAATGTGAAGCAGATGAGTTTTGCTAATGAAGTTGATGAAACGCTACCGGTGTTGGATTCCATACCAATTCAAACAACTTCCGTACACGAATCAGCATCAGCGAAACTACGACCACCGACACGTCTTGTTCCTGTGCAGTTACCTATTCAGAAGGCGAGTATTTTATTGTTTCCAGATTATTTTCAGTCTGTACATATTTTTTTCATTTTCCACTTTTTTGTAGCAGAGAATTCATAGAAAAATACGCGTTTATATTTCGAAGCAATGTTGAATCGTATTTTTAATTTGGTATTCAATTTCATGTGATTTAGTCTCTTTGATTGTTAGCGGGGAAGTGTTTAAGAAACTGAAGGTGACGTTGTTTGTCAAATTTTATTTATGTTAAATGAGATGAACTCAAGACAAGCAATTTTTTATTCAGGTGGTTGCTTCCACATCTCAGGCTAGTTCCGCAACGAATCAACCTGTAATATACATATTACCAGCCTCATCGAATTCTGTTCCCAGCGAGGTAAGAAGCCATAATGGATGACGCGTTTGTCTGAATATGTATCATTATTTCATTTTTCTTTGCTATCGTTAGCATCACCACTGTGATTATCCTAATTATTAAGGTTAGTGTTTTTCAGCAGATATTTATTTTGAAATAAGGCGATCTGGTTCTATCTGCCCAACAAATGCTAATAAACAATATTTCAGCAGCAGATGCAATCGCCAAATGTGTATACGCAAAATGTTGTAAATAATGTGCAGTTTCTTTCATCAAATAACATCAATCACAATAACGAATACACGTCAAATAAACGGTCATTCCCAACCAATACAAATCGCTCGCAACCGTATCCATCAATTCGACCCAAATTACTCATACCAAAACGTGAAACATCTTCACCTCCTCCATCAGTTCCCATCATCGCCAATCCAATCGTGAGTTCTGTATGCCGTCAAATATTCGGTGTTAATTTCTCATCGATGCTTACAATTTTATTCAACTATGCGTGAATCTCGTACGAATGTTCATCATCTGTTGACTCACATTTCAGCAGATCCAAACCGTGAGTGTGCCAACCATATCGAACGCAGTCATAACACCGATTGCAACGATTAATGGTGGCTTGCAATTGATCGAATGTCGAACAACGTCTACCAACCCCACAACGACAGTCACTCGCAATATGTCCGTCGAAAGCGGTTTTGATGTTCGTTTTATCTCTAGTTATGAGCGTCTTTTAGTTCTGTATAACCGTTCGCGATTCCAAAAATTTTTGAACCCAATTTCTAAAATCTTTCAATCAATCAAATGATTGCAGGAATTCTCTCGCAAGAAAGAGGATCGTAAAATTCGAAACCGAGCCTCTGCACAACTTTCAAGAATTCGGAAAAGAAACGTGAGTGTTCTATATCATGTTTCATGTCTGCANAAGGTTTTCAGGAGATTGACGCAATGAAGCAAACAATAGTCGAGAAAGATGCGCTGATAGCAAAACTGAAGGAAGAAAATCAAGAACTGAAGGAAACTATCAGCTTATTGAGAACAGAGGTACGCTTATCTCATTTGCGTATATCGTTGACGATAAATTTCCGAATCTGTTTTATGGCTTTGAACGAACATCGAACACATTTCTGGAAGCGAAAAGCAGTTGAGAAAACAAATGATGTCTACAAGAGATTGATTCTGTAACAGAAATTTTTAAATGTTAATCTGTTCATACTGTTTTTTGGGCACTTCGACGCATCACACTCTTATCTGAAGTGAAGAAATTTCATTTTGTCTATGAGTAATTTGCTCGATTCTGAAAGAATAATGAACGTTGTTAAAGGGTGAGAATTTAAAACGCACGAAGGTCAGTGAACGCGCAAGATTAGCTGCCGGAACGGTTTGTGTTGCAGTCGTTATAATGATGGTCACTTTCAGTCCTCCTTCTCTTTTGTAAGTTTAACTTACTGCTTATGTCTTTGGTGAATTCAGTTTTTTGAGTTTTGCTTAGTTTGTAAAATTTGTGACTGAATGTTTGTCTTTATTTTTTCTTTTATCAATAAAATCGAATAATTGAACTCTTTTCAGACGATACAACCCAGTCGTTCCGGTCTCTGACAGTATCACAGAAAAATTTCCGTTGAACTCATTCGAGAAAAGGATGGAGAATAGCATTCAGCAGCATGGTCGTACACTTCTGTCGATTGATTATGACGCTGAACAGGTGTGTATTCCGGTTCGATTTGGTTTGTGAATATTTTGGTGTGCATTTGAATGCGAACGATCAATTTCAAAGAAAATTGCTAGATTTTCGTTGGTATTTTCTAGCGTGTTTTTGTTTGTTATCAAAAGACCTCATCAAAATTTGAATGCACAATAATTAGGATGCCGTTAGATACTGGAGATTGATAGAGCAAAGTTGTAGAATGGAGATTTGACTGAAGAAGGAAGAGCACTTCGGCCGAAAAAGGATGAAGGTGAAATCGTTCATATGGGTAGTGGAACACTGAACATCAGCAACTTATCGGACTGTAATGAAACCAGCAGAATCTACTGGAATCAGACGGAGGCAATCAGGTGCTTATTCTTAATGTTGTTGAAACTTCCCTCCTCTTCATTCCA